ACCTGTAGGTTAGATTCACTAATGTAATGACCCTCAGAAACTCTTCATTCACCTGATTCTATAATTAATACTATAACGAGCAATTGCATATCAGTAAAGCTGTAACTCGTCATTGTGTGCTCGAGTAAAGCTGAATGTGTGATGATCTTCAATAAAGCATCTACATATGATATGTGACTTTGTCTGGTGTGAGTATCTGACATTATGGTTCATGCCATTATAAGAAGGTTTTGGGGTTTTGTTGGTAAAGTGTGTTTGTTTCTAATAATTCACTATAACAGCCAATACATGAAGATGTATTATATACACTGAAATAAATAATGCAATGAGTAGAAATAACAGAAATAGCTTTATGACCACAGAGTAAACGAGTCAGCTACTAATATATAAAGTTTCACAATTATGATATTAATGTTGTGATGGGTGTTGATTTGGAAAGTTCTGATATTGATACAAGAGAGAAAAGAGCTGACCTTAACTTATTTATAAAATAAAACAAAAAAGCACCGTTATACAGGGCAATATTTTACCTGCCCTTTATGTATGAAATACAGAATTCATATATTGTGGTACACTGTTTTTACCCCTTTTTGTGTTTTGTGTTAAATCCAATCAGATGCTCATTTCTTGCTGAATATATATGCTATCTGATTTATTAATTTTGTTCTTACTGCTTTTGAATAAAAATATAGAAAAATGACAAATTCAACATTTGTTATGTTTCAGTAGTTACACATGGTTACATGGCATATTATAAACTACTGGGAAACTGGTAAATACAGAAGCCCTCGGGGACACCCATAAAATAACGAAACAAAACAAAAGAATATTCCCAGAAGTCGGGATCAACTTCGACCAAACAAACCAGAAGACAATCATACCAAAGCCTCTGGGTTTCCGTAGGGATCTTACCGAAATAAATATCAAGAAACCAACAAAATCCTTAAAACAGATGATTGTAAAACAATTAAAGTAATAAAAAATCACACATAATTCTCTTTGAACAGGGAATTCTCTTCTTTTGTAGTATTCACAAACACACATATATCGGAATATTAGAGATTATATGTCTTAATATTAGAATTTAATCAAATGCATTAATATTTTAATATTGATCAGATGTTTGTGTGTGTGTGGTGTGTGTGTGCGTGTGTGTGTGTGTGTGTGTGCGTGTGTGTGTGTAAGTTTCCTTGAATTCAAGCATGTTCCTGGTGAACCAGAACCCCTCAGATACACACCCATGCCGCAAACAGCATGGCTTTCAGCTTTGATGCTGGAACAGTAACAATGAGACATATTCCACACACACACACACACAGATACAAACCGAAACATGTAGAAACAGGAGAAATGAAGCCGTGAAACCAAACAACTGACATGACGTGATGTCATTCACATTTACACAGGTGCTGTAGGTGTGTGTGTGTGGTGTGTGTGTGTGTGTGTGTGTGTTGTAATTGTGTGATGCGCTGATTTCTAAATCAATCTGCTCGTGTTCATCTGCGGGAGATTCTGAGTCACTGGCCCTTTAAATAAATAAAATAAATATGATTTACCTTCCAGTGTGGACACGCCCCTTTCTGACATCCTCCAGTCAGCTGTTTTCCTGTCAAATACAGTGAAATTCTACGTTTACTGGCATTTATTGTTTTTTTTATTATTATTGCAAGTTCAATAAAAGAAATTAATAACAGCAATAATAATAACCTATCTATCTATATATTGTTATTGTGGGAACATTTGCCTTATTACAGCATAAAAAGAGGATTTTTTGTGTGTGTATTACATGAGAGAGTGTTGGATGTCGCAGAGGTGACGGATGTGGAGCGAGTGAAGCAGCAGCATCAGTTGTCTGCAGTGGAGGCTGCTGTGCTGTAAATTATTCATGAGCAATTTGAATACATGCAAATACATTGGCACAGCTCCAGGTACCTATGGCAACGCCCGGTGACCCCGCCCACAGCATCAGCAGCAGTCCTGCCTGTGAGAGTTTGATTCAGTGACGAGGACAAAAACATTCCATTCAGTCACGTGATGCAATCACTAAATATTCAACAAATCCAGTATAATGTTACTATAATAATATCCAAAAACATTGTATTATTTTAAAATTATTAATATTACTATTAAATACTGCATAATAAATAACTATTTTAATGAGTATTAATAATTTTTTGGTTATTTTATTATTAATAAATAATATACATAATAAACAAATAATAACAGTATTTTATAATATAATATGAATAATATTATTAGTAATACCTATTTTACTATTTTTAATTATTATTATTTATACTGCACAATAAGCAATACATTTATATTATTTTAAAACTATTGTTATTGTTAATTTGTGATTAATAAATTATACAAAATAAACAATATTTTATAGTTATTTTATTATTTTGAAAATATTTTATTATTATGCGTTTTCAAATGAGTTGTTAAGTTTCTAAAAAGTTCATTTAGATTAAACATTCTAATGAAAAAAGAAACTATAAATAAAACAGCATTGTATTACAGTTTTTCTCAGTTGCTTTGGCTCAATTCTCGAATGAAACTTTTTTTTCCCGAAACAATAAGTTCAGATCTCTGAACAATTAGCTTCTTGTTCACATCAGATTGGAAATTCTTATTGATTTGAGCAAATTGCAAATGCTTTGGCACATGTGTGCAAACAGTAAGTACAATTGTCTGCAGTTTGCACAACAACTAATTGCATATGGCTTGTTGATCCCTTTTCGAAATAAATTTACATACACCTCAGTCTTGGATTTTTAATTTTTTTTTACCACAAATACTATTTATAATATTGTATTTTGTATGGAAGCCCGTTTCCGCCACTGAATAAAAAAAAGGTAATTGACTTTTTTTTCTCGGAATTGCGTGATATAAACTAGACTATTTATTTATTTATTATATTATTTATAGAAATATTCTACAACTAATGTCCTATTTAAGCATTGATATGTGTATGGATTTGACTTTGTTTAATTATTTATTTAATCCGTTGTTTACTTAAATATTATACAATTAATATCCCGTTTAAGCATTTATATGAGCATCAATGTGACTATTTATTTATTTATTCTGTTATTTACTTAAGTATTATACAATATCCCATTTAAGCATATTTAGGAGCATCGATGTGACTATTTAGGCCTATTTATTTGTTTGTTCATTTATTCAGTTATTTACTTAAATATTATACAATTAATGTCCCATTTAAGCATTTAGATGAGCATCGATGTGACTATTTATTTATTTGTTTATTTATTTTTCTGTTATTTATTTAAATATTATACACTAATGTCCCGTTTAAGCATTTATATGAGCATGAATGTGGCTATTTATTTATTCAGTTATTTACTTAAATATTATACAATTGATGTTCCGTTTAAGCATTTTTATGTGACTATTTATTTATTTGTTCATTTATTTATTCTGTTGTTTATTTCAATATTATTTATTTATTTTTATTTATTTAGTCATTTAGCAGACACTTTTATCCAAAGCGACTTACAAATGAGGACAATAAAAGCAGTCAAAACTAACAAAAGAGCAACAATATATAAGTGCAAATGACAAGTCTCGGTTAGCCTAACATAGTACACGTAGCAAGGTATACATACATACATATACACACACACACAAACAAAAAAAGTAGATAGAATAGAAAAAATAGAAAGCTAGTGTTTGTTTGTTTTTACACATTTTTATCATATGTCATTAATAGCGGTTCACTACCGTGATTTGGTACGATTGCGTTCACATCAGCAGCGAACCGTACCAGAGTTCACTTTAACCGTACCCCAGACCACCCTTTTTAAACAGACTCGGGTACGGTTCGGAAGACCGCGTTCACATCATCCAAACGAACTGAACTCTGACATCAATCGAACCCGGTGCGCACCAAAAGTTTTAGTGTGAAAGCACCCTAACATATTATAGTTTTGGTTAGATAATAATCAAGTGGTCTAAAATAGAAGCAAATAAACTATGAGAGTATACAAACAATATCAATATGTATGTAATTTCAATGCTATGGCCTTTGTGTAGATATTTGTAGATTTCCATCTGTAAGCATGACTGATGATACGAGAACACTTTACAATAAAAGTCCATTTGTAACGTTAACTAAGATTATTAAAAGCTGTAGAAGTGTTCCTTGTTAGGATTAACGTGTTAATTACAACATTTACTACATTTAAATGGTAAAGTTGCTTCTGTTAACATTAATGAACTATGAACTACTTTTAATTATCATCAATATATAATTAATATTAATATTGTTAATTTACAAAGTATGGTTCAGTACTGTTTAGTTGTTTTTTTTTTTTTTATAGTAAAGCAGTATTTTAGTTTTCATTGCGTATCCATTTAAAAAACGATCAGTTGATTAATCGGTATCCGTAAAATCAGATCGGTGGACATCTACGGACAATATCGGAGAATTAAAATGGAAATTGTGTGAAGTGCAATCATATAAGATATAAAAAACATGCATGACTATAAATGGAGTTCAGAAGTGTGTTTGTGATATGCATGAAAGCAAAGGCTGTTTAACTGCATTTTCAGTGTTTTATGGCATTGAGTCATATAGTATTTATTCCTTTTTTTTAGGGTTGTAACTATGTAGTCATAATATATCACAATGCAAAAATGCACCTGTAGTATGAAAGTTTAGACAATTGAATTTAACTCAAATATGGTAAATCCAGAAGGGCAAACATTTGAGCTTCCTTCACTAATAAAAAAAAACTAAAGTGCATTTAGTAAAACACACTATTTAAAACGTTAGATGTCTGTAGTGAGGGAAAAAGTGCAAGCAATATTTCTAATAGTCATTTGCTTTGTATTTTCTTATATTGCTCATAGGAAAAATCAACCCTGTCAAGTTTAGTTATCACTAAATAACCCAATCTCAGAGTTCATAGTTGCCCCAAACAGCCAATCATCTGTGACATGCTCACAAAACCAAAGCCAAGCCGAGTGTCTCATGTTGATGCACAAAGAGTTGGTTGTTGATTTCCCTCTGTCGTGCCTCTTTCTCAGTGCCATCTCCATGTACTACGAGCTGACCGAAAATGACATGGCCTTCATTAAGCAGTGCAAGGATGGATCTGGTTTCCTCATCAACCTGATCGACTCTCCCGGCCACGTGGACTTCTCCTCCGAGGTCACGGCTGCTCTGCGTGTCACCGATGGAGCTCTGGTTGTGGTGGACTGTGTCTCTGGTAAGCTTTTTACTGTGGTTATACATCATACTGTCATTGATGTGGCCTTCATAGGGTTTATGCGGGTCTGAAGTCTCCCTTCCACAAATTAATGCCTTAAATTGGACCAAAAGTCTTACATTTATGCCATTTAGTTATGACATTAAATAAATCAATAAGCCCCAAGAAGCCGTGGTTTACAGTGAATTTATAATGGCTAAGGGGCATTGTTAGGCACGAAGCAGAGTGCCTAAAACTAGGGCTGTGCAATTAATCGCATGTGATTGTCAAGCGCATCTCGTCAGTAAAGCCATCACCTGCTTTCAGATGGAGCGGCATTTAATACACAGAGCCGTAGTTCACTGACAATTAGGGAATATCACGTTCATAATTGAATGCGATTCATCTACGATTATGAACGTGATATTGCCTAATTGTCAGTGAACTACGGCTCTGTGTATTAAATGCCGCTCCATCTGAAAGCAGGTGATGGCTATTTACTACTAATCACGGAACTGGCTTTACTGACGAGATGCGCATGACAATAGCATGCGATTAATTGCACAGCCCTACCTAAAACCCCCTTAGCTGTTATAAATTCACTGTAAACAACGGCTTCACGGGGCTTATTGCTTTTATAAAACGGTTATTCCATATACGTAGTAAGGTTTCACAAAATAAAACGGAGCAAATAAAGTGTAATGATATGAATAAAAACAGTATTCTTCCACCAAACAATGTAGCTCCTCAGAAACAGTTGTGGTTGCAACAAAGTGGTTGCCGAGCAACACACAGAAGTAAACAAAGGTGTATGTTTGTGGAGTAATTTACAACAGCTTCTAATGCGGCTCAGCCAATCAGAACCAAGCACCGGAACTCTTCCTCTGTATTGTCTTATTTTACAATACAAATATTTAAAGATCATTAAATCAAGAAACGTTTACTTTAAGCAAAAACTCACTTGTTCAATTTCTCAGACTTCGTTTTGCATAAAGCAGGTATCTGTCAATGGGGCCATTAGATGTTTATTCTGGTTTTAATCAGACTAAATTCATTTTTAATCAGTTTTTCAGAAAACTAGATTTTTATTAATGTGATTTAGTTTTAAGTAAATGCATCTTGATTGAAGAATCTTTAGACATTTGCTTTAGACATTTGTAGTGGAAAGCAAAGCAAGACAAATACTGAGGAAGAACAGCATTTTTTTTTTGCAGTGTGTTAAACCTATTTTCATATTTTAGTGCTTGTGAGCAGAGGTATTCAAGCTTTTTATTTTATAAATGAGTTGGAAGTTGTTGTTTTTTTTTTTCAAACTTTTTAGTGTTGCTAATAATTCTTATTCTCCTTAGACATGTTTCTGTGAGTCTTAAGAGAAACAAACTTAAACATACTGGTAAAAAATGTATAGCCTGAATGCACTAAGGAGGAATATTCTAATTGAAATTGATCAATGCATTTATACTTCAACTGGGAAAAAATATCTGCCAATAGAGTCAGAAAAATAAACTTGTTTTCCCTTTTGAATTAAGTTAAGACCCCTTTGGCTGATATTTGTTCATGTATTAATCATGAACTCACTTAATTGATTAATCTCTTTGTTTCCCCTTCCATTTATTCCTCAAGTCTTAAATTTGACTACTTAATACCTTCAGAAGTTCTGATTTACATTTAGAGAACGTATTGACGTATTGTTGCCTTCCGTTTAGTCCTTCTCTGTACTTGGTCATAAAAAGCTCTTAAATTTACCTTCATGAAACCCTGATATGATCTAAAATGCATTTATTGCTATTTACAGGACGTTAAATGTCTCTTTTGCTCAGGTGTGTCCGTGCAGACAGAGACGGTGCTGAGACAGGCCATCGCCGAGCGCATTAAGCCCGTGCTGATGATGAATAAGATGGACCGGGCCCTGCTGGAGCTGCAGCTGGACCCTGAGGAGCTGTACCAAACCTTCCAGCGTATCGTGGAGAACATCAACGTCATCATCTCCACCTACGGAGAGGACGAGAGTGGACCCATGGGTAACATCATGGTGAGAACACGCTCTCATTTGTTTATATGAAGTGGTAAAATGCTATGCGGTCTGTGAGGAGAAACCATGCACCACTCTGATTGGCTGATGAACAACTAAACACAATATCTGAGACCTGCGCTGATCCTTCAGTGATTTCTGACCTGTTCAGTGCCGTAGTCTCATGATATTGGTTCCTTTAGCTGGACTATTTGTGCTCATCTCTCTGCTTTCTCTCAGATTGATCCAGTGATCGGTACTGTGGGTTTTGGATCTGGTCTTCACGGCTGGGCTTTCACTCTGAAGCAGTTTGCGGAGATGTATGTGGCCAAGTTTACTGCTAAAGGTGAAGGTCAGCTGAGCCCAGCTGAACGCTGTAAGAAAGTGGAGGACATGATGAAGAAACTCTGGGGTGACAGGTGAGATTCATACCAGTAAATACATTGTTCAGTTCAGCTGATAAAATGAGCCTCATCTTGTGCGTTATTTTAGTAATTTTAATTAAACATCTGCTAGAAGACTTAAAGGGGTCATATGATGCTTTTTTGAAGATCATTATTTTGTGTATTTGGTGTAACAGAATATGAAAGGAAAACTTGAAATCGCATCATATGACCCGTTTAAGCTCATACACTGCCATTTAAAAGATTTTAAAATATTAATGCTTTCCAAAATAGTTTTTTGTTCCAAAAAAGCTGTAATATTGTGAACTATTTTTATAATTTAAAGTAACGTAATAAAAATAAAGTTGACGCGCGCGCGCGCACACACACAGATTGGAGATTGCACAGCGCACACACGGAAACATTGACGACAACTTTATTAATATAATAGCTTCGATACTGAATCGCTACATTATTTCTCAGCAACGAGGAGGTAAAATTGCTGAGTGAGATGCACAGATGCAGCTTTAATCTCGCTCTCTATCAATAATTAACTCAAATCAATGCTATAATTCATGCATTCAAATAAATGTGGTCTTCATCTGTCTGATTTAAAGCGGGCAGAATGCTAGTTACTGTTGTTAATAAAAGTACATTTTGTATGCTTCCCAACTCAAGCTCAGTGCTTTACTGTCAAATGTGCATTACCAATAAATAAATGTGTAATATTAGTAACTGCACTTATTAATGCAAAACGATAGTCATTTTATGATTTAAATTATCTATCTTTTTAATACCTTTTGGGTCCTATGTAACTTCAGTGAACCAAAATTTTTAAGTGGTAGTGTAAATTATACATGAAATGCAAGCTCTGCTGCTCTTGCAGGTATTTTGACCCAGCCACCGGTAAATTCAGCAAGTCTGCCAACGGCCCTGATGGAAAGAAACTGCCCCGCACCTTCGCCCAGCTCATCCTGGATCCCATCTTCAAGGTGCCAATCTGTTTGCCTCAAACACTAGTGCAGATCTCCTTTTGATCCACCGGTGATCATACCGCACTTTCTCAATCCCCAGGTGTTCGATGCCATCATGAACTTCAAGAAGGAGGAAACCGCCAAGCTGATCGAGAAGCTGGACATCAAGCTGGACACCGAGGACAAGGATAAGGAAGGCAAGCAGCTGCTGAAGGCTGTGATGCGTCGCTGGCTGCCCGCCGGAGAAGCTCTGCTTCAGATGATCACCATCCACCTGCCCTCTCCCGTCACGGCCCAGAGGTACCGCTGCGAGCTGCTTTACGAAGGGCCTGGAGATGATGAAGCTGCCATGGGTACGACACTCGTTTTCTCAGGGTTTCTCGGGTGTGTGTTGCATTTGAATTGTCTGATTTAGTTTGTTGTGTTCTGCGCAGGTGTTAAGAACTGCGACCCTAAGGCTCCCCTCATGATGTACATCTCAAAGATGGTGCCGACCACAGATAAGGGTCGTTTCTACGCTTTCGGCCGCGTGTTCTCTGGTGTCGTGTCCACTGGGCAGAAAGTGCGAATCATGGGACCAAACTTCACCCCTGGGAAGAAGGAGGATCTTTACCTGAAACCCATCCAGAGGTCTGCAGCATTCCGGACTCATTAACGCCCAAATTAGTTTATTTAGCCAAGATTGAAAAATAGTTCAATCACTTTATTTTTTTTAATTGATATAAAAACACTAACACTTTACAATAAGGTTTCATTTGGTAAGTTATGTGAGCAATACTTATTCAATATTTATTAATGTTAAGTTCAATATTTACAAAAAATATTAGTTAACAATGTACTGTGAACTAACATGAACACTTTTATTAACTAACATTAAAGGTTAAATGCCGTAAAAACATAGTTTATTATTAGTTCATGTTAGTTAGTGCATTAAATGAGATCTAATTGTAAAGTGTTACTGATATAATTGTTTCTAGCGATGCCTCGAAATAAAAATCCTGGGCCGAAACCAAAAATTTAGGGTGTATTTGGGCCGAAAACGGAATTACATTTTCTTTAATAATCAGCACTTTAAATAAAGGTTTTACAGACATTTAAATTGCACATTAGGCAGTTTTTGTCCACTTTTTGTTGGTAGAATATAAACAGTGGCTTTAACTTCATGACAGATTTATTTAAACATGCATTAAATAATGAAGACAACAGGTTAAGTAACAATATTAATGAATGTATCAAAATAATTAAAGAATGTGTAGGCTACATTTATTGTATAAATTGTATGTAAAATTGACTATTTGAATCAAAAGAGTAATGAAGCGCAAAGATTATTGCGATTTATTGGATGGTAAGTGTGCTACAAGTTAGGGCTGGGACAATAAATCAATGCATTGCAAGTCGAGAAATGATTCTGCATCGATTCTGAGATTTACCGAAGGCATTGCGATTCTCTCTTGAATCGATTCTGAGCTTAGTTTTTAACAGCAGGTGGCACTGCGTGCTTTAGAAACAGCCGTATTCTGCTTGCTTCCAGTTCCTTACACACGCACCACTTGAACCTAAAATAAGCATTCATAAAGTTCGAAAAGGTTGAAGCGAGTGTGCTGTTTAAAAACTAGCCTAGAGCGCCATCTGCTGTTAAAAACTAAGCTCAGAATCGATCCACGAATCGCGATGCATCGATTTATTGTCCCAGCCCTTCTAGAAATAATGTTTAGTGACTTTTTGATCATGCATCAACCGAAAACTGCACAGACTAAAAGATCTCAGTTCTTTATTTCTAATTATTTTAGAATTATTTCTAATTTATTATGCAAATTATTACTATTTTTATTGGTTGTAATGATTTTATTGTCCCTCAAATTAACTTCCGGTTGCCAAAATTCAGTGCATCACTAATTAACGTGATCCCAGAACTGTGTACCACCTTTCTGACGCACAGCATTTCTTTATTCCAGGACCATTTTGATGATGGGTCGTTACGTGGAGCCCATTGAAGATGTGCCATGTGGTAACATCGTGGGTCTGGTAGGCGTGGACCAGTTTTTGGTGAAGACCGGGACCATCACAACTTTCGAGCATGCCCACAACATGCGTGTGATGAAGTTCAGCGTCAGCCCTGTGGTCAGAGTGGCGGTGGAAGCCAAGAACCCCGCCGACCTGCCCAAACTAGTGGAGGGACTCAAGCGCCTGGCCAAGTCTGACCCCATGGTGCAGTGCATCATCGAGGAGTCCGGAGAGCACATCATCGCCGGCGCCGGAGAGCTTCACCTGGAAATCTGCCTTAAAGATCTGGAGGAGGACCACGCCTGCATTCCACTGAAGGTCCGTTCATCATTAGCACTTGGCAGATTTTGTTAGGACATAGAAAAACTTCACATTTTTATGGAGTTGTGTACATGATCCAAATTGTGTACAGTTCCTTGCACACTTGATTCAATCGTAGATGCTTCGGATGAAATTACAATATAAACTAGAAAAACATATTTCTTAATATGTGCCCTCGTTTTATTAATTTACATGTTTTAGTTACATCGTGCCTGGCTGCAAAGAACTCGTTCCCTTGTTTTTAATTAATTCCTTCTATTAGTTCCCTAATTTTTATTTTGTATTTTTATCGTGACCACGAATTAAGAATTGGTTCCCACTATTAATTAATTGGTTCCCTTGTTTTAGTTTAATCACGGCCACAAACTAAGAATTTGTTTACTCATTCGGTTTAGTTCGCTCGTTTGTTTTCATTTGTTCGCTTGTTTGTTTTGTTTGTTCTCGTTTTAATTTGTTCACTCACTCGTTTTACTTTGTTCACTCGTTTGTTTTAATGTTTGTTCTCGTTTTAATTTGCTTGCTTGCTCGTTTTTATTTGTTCACTTTTTTTTTGTTCATTCTCTCGTTTTAGTTTGTTCCCTCTTTTTTTTTTGTCCACTCGTTTTAATTTGTTCGCTTGTTCGTTTTGATGTTTATTCACTCATTTTTGTTCGCTTGCTTGTTTTTATTCGTTCACTTGTTTTAATCCGTTCACTCACTACTTTTAATTCGTTCACTCGCTCATTTTAGTTTGCTCGTTTTTCTTTGTTCACCGTTTTATTGGTTTACTTGTTTATTCATTCATTTGCTCATTCATTCCCTCGTTTCAGTTGTGACCATGAATTAAGAATTGGTTTCACTAACTAATTGGCTCCCTCGTTTTAGTTCAATTGTGACCATGAATTAAGAATGTTTTCTCATGTTTTAGGTTGTTTCCTTGATTTAATTTGTTGAAAAAATGCTAAATATATATTTTTGTCCTTGTCATGTGGGGCTCAGTAGTTTAGTTGCATATGTGATATAAAGTTGAGTTTTGTAATTTGAATGTTGAATCCGTATCGGTCATATAATAGCTTGTGAAGCTGAAATGGCAATAAATTGAAATGCAGCCAACCAGCCGTTCCTGATGTAACCCGTGTGCCTGGTTCTCCAACAGAAATCAGACCCCGTTGTGTCCTACAGAGAGACGGTCAGCGCAGAGTCAGACCAGATGTGTTTGTCCAAGTCCCCCAACAAGCACAACCGTCTGTACATGAAGGCCAGGCCATTCCCCGACGGACTCGCTGAAGACATCGACAAGGGCGACGTGACATCCCGTCAGGAGCTCAAGGCCCGCGCTCGTTACCTGGCCGACAAATACGAGTGGGAGGTCACAGAGGCCCGTAAGATCTGGTGCTTTGGACCTGACGGAACCGGACCCAACCTCCTGGTGGACGTGACCAAAGGAGTGCAGTACCTGAACGAGATCAAGGACAGCGTCGTGGCTGGATTCCAGTGGGCCACTAAAGAGGTGAGATGTTCAAAGTCAAACGGGGTTTGGTTAACTAGCCGTCCTCTTGATGTCCTGGCTGGTCTGTGAGGAGAAATCATGCACCACTCTGAAGAAGTGATCGATAACACCTACCATAAATATCTGCGACCTCCACGGACATGAGCGAGAGCCAATCTACAATATTGAGACCTGGTCATAAACTTTTAATTATATAAAATGTTTTATTGGAATATTTTTATTCATTTAAAATGAAGTGCAATTGGATATAAATAATAGAAACAAATGCAAACCAATAAAGTGTTAATTTTGTTTGTGTACTTGGTAAGTTTTTTTTTTTATTTTATTTTTTATAATGCTTTTATTGTATTTTTTTATAAAAAAAATAAAAAGCAATGATAAAAACAATAAAAAAAGGTCATTGTATTTTAATTGTTTAAAATAATTGTTTGCATTATTTGCTGAAAAATAAAATGCAAACACAAACAATTATAGGGTATTAAATACTTAATCTTAACAATACAAATAAAGGATTATTCTTATGTAAATTATAATTAAGACTTTTTTCCCTCCTTGTCCTTTTTGATGACTTTCTTGCTCCTGGTCACTGCTGTATTTGACGAATATTAAAGTTTTGATTGGTTTGGTTTCTCTGCTCAGGGTGTGCTCTGCGAGGAGAACCTGCGTGCCGTTCGTTTCGACGTCCACGACGTGAGAATCCACACAGACGCCGTCCACCGCGGAGGTGGCCAGATCATTCCCACGGCCCGCAGGGTCCTGTACGCCTGTCAGATCACGGCTGAGCCCAGACTCATGGAGCCCATCTACCTGGTGGAGATTCAGGTGAGACGCCTCGTTCTTCATGCGAGGAGAACCTGCGTGCTGTTCGTTTCGACGTCCATGACGTGAGAATCCACACAGACGCCGTCCACCGCGGAGGTGGCCAGATCATTCCCACGGCCCGCAGGGTCCTGTACGCCTGTCAGATCACGGCTGAGCCCAGACTCATGGAGCCCATCTACCTGGTGGAGATTCAGGTGAGACGCCTCGTTCTTCAGATGGACTTCACTATGTAATCATCATCATTTTCAGGTGTGAGCGTCTGTTCTCTTCTCAGTGCCCAGAGCAGGTGGTTGGCGGCATCTACGGCGTGTTGAACAGCAAACGAGGCCACGTCTTCGAGGAGTCTCAGGTCATGGGAACACCCATGTTCGTCGTTAAGGCCTTCCTGCCCGTTAATGAGTCTTTCGGTAAGTCCTTCTGGTTCTGCTTCATCCCCATCACATTTAATGAGCTTTTAATCCAGGGATTAAAGTTCCGTCTACACGGATTTCCGTCAGTTCATAAAGACAGTCACTTGCTTCATTCCTGAATGATTCAGCCGTTCGAACGAATCAATTTGCTACCTCCAAGCCTCATTAAACGTCTGAAAATGTTCCTACAAGCCACTTTTGTGTTCTTCTGTGCCACCTCTGTATCATCCAGATGTAGTTTTTGATAAAAATGTGATTTTTCTCACCTTTTGCTCAAAATTATACATTTTTATGAAACCTACCTATATTCAAGTGTTGATAAAAAAAGATTGCTTTAAGCTAGAATAAAACAGATTTTTTTGTTTAAAAGTAGAGGTTCTGATCTTATTTTGGTGTATTGCATATTCAAATATTCATACAGCAAAATATACTGGAGGCCATCAAATTTGAGTCAAAATCGCTGGCGGTGGCTGGCAACTTTTCTCAAAGAATGCTGGCGGGGAAAGAGTTAAATGTCTCAAATCTATTCTTTATTGACTCGTTTATTGATAGTGCATTATCAGAACAGTTATTTCAAAGCAGCTTCAGTAATCAACAGGAGAATGAGTGTGATTGCATCCATTGTGGCGACTTCGATGTCCGCTATTCAGTTCAGTGTGGATTCGGCTCTACAGAAGATGACAGTGTCTTTAATGCAGTTCAGTTCAAGCTGTGTTAGTGCCATCAAATTTATATTTCTGAATATTAATCTTTTAAACCCATCTGAGCAAACTAGAGTCAGCATTTGCCATTAACCAGCAAGTAACTACTCGTTTCAGTCCAGAATCACTCGAGTTTGCAGTCTGGGTTGAAAGTGCTGAGAAAGCAGGACTGAACGCTGCTGCATGCAAAAGATAAAACAGCAGCACGTCTTTCTATTGTGTCGTTCTCGCTGTCAGACAGCAAACATCCAGCGCAAGCAGTGTCGAGACACGCAAACGCAAAGGCCTGAAAGAGGGCATCCCGGCACTCAACAACTTCCTCGACAAGTTATAAACGAGAACGGAGACGTGTCGCCGGGTCTAGTCCAAACCTAGACGATGCATCCAGAGGGATGGATAGATGGATGGAGAGGGATGGATAGATGGATGGAGAGAGATGGATGGAGAGGGATGGATAGATGGATGGAGAGGGATGGATGGTTAGATGGATGGGGAGGGATGGATGGATGGAGAGGGATGGATGGTTGGAGAGATAGAGAGGGATGGATGGATAGATGGATGGAGAGGGTGGGATGGATAGATGGAGATAGAGAGGGATGGATGGTTGGAGAGATAGAGAGGGATGGAGGGAGGGATGGGGATGGATGGTTGGAGAGATAGAGGGATGGATGGATGGAGAGTTAGAGAGGGATGGATGGTTGGAGAGATAGAGAGGGATGGAGAGATAGAGATAGATGGATGGATGGAGAGAGAGGGAGAGATACAGGGGCGTAAAATCTAATTTAATCATATTTTTAGGGGGGACAACCCTCAGATAGGAGGGGGTCCTCCTGTACCCCCCGGGATTTCTGCCTATGGATAGAGAGAGAGAGATAGTCAAATATATGTAGTTTTTGAGCTTAGTAATTCTGTGTTCATAATAACACAAGAATTGTCAAAATGCCTTGAAATACTAAGTATTAACTTCAAAAGACAATATTGTCATATTAACTGTTGTATTTTATTAAAGAAAATAAAACACTATAGAGAGGGATGGATGGATGGTTGGAGAGATAGAGGGATGGTTGGAGAGATAGAGAGGGATGGATGGTTGGAGAGATAGAGAGGGATGGAGGGAGGGATAGGGATGGATGGATGGTTGGAGAGATAGAGGGATGGATGGTTGGAGAGATAGAGAGGGATGGATGGTTGGAGAGATAGAGAGGGATGGATGGTTGGAGAGATAGAGAGGGATGGATGGTTGGAGAGATAGAGAGGGATGGATGGTTGGAGAGAATGGATGGATGGATGGAGAGTGAGAGAGGGATGGATGGAGAGTTGGAGAGGGATGGATGGTTGGAGAGATGGAGAGGGATGGATGGAGGGAGAGGGATGGATGGATGGATGGAGAGTTAGAGAGAGATGGATGGTTGGAGAGATAGGGATATGGATGGTTGGAGAGATAGAGAGGGATGGAGAGATAGAGATGGATGGATGGATAGAGAGAGAGGGAGAGATACAGGGGCGTAAAATCTGATTTAATCATATTTTTAGGGGGGACAACCCTCAGATAGGACGGGGTCCTCCTGTCCCTACTAATTTTGTCTTAATTTCATTAAAATCTATTAACTTGCTGCAGCTCTGAAAGTTTATTTTTATTTTTTGAATATCATTAAATATCCTTTTTCACTTGGTAATACATCTGGTTAAGAAAGTTAAATGTCATTCAAACGGGTTTATAGTTAACTAAAGTCATTGGGGGGAAAATCAACTTTTTTTGTACTAGAAGTAAAATATTTAATTTTTTTTATTACAAAAATTAAAAGGACAAAAACATAATAAAAAATATATATATTCAATATTTTATTTCTAGTCCAATATTTTTTTTTACTAGAAATAAAATATTGAAAATATATAATTATAATTAAAAAATAAAAAGGACAAAAACTACAAAAAGAACTTTTTTTTGGACTAGAAATAAAATATTGGAATATACATTTTTTTTATATAAAAAAAAAAAAAGACAAACAAAATTACTAAAACTTTAATCATGTTTGTGACCATTAAATCCAGTCTGCTGTCCTAAAAATGTTCAGATGTAAAGAACTATTCAACTTTATTGAACATGAGTAGTCATACAAAGACCCAACATTACCGAACATCTACAATCCAGAAACACGAGCGCTTGTTGGATCTGAACAGTCATGCACGAGTGCTGAGGTTCATCCTGTAAATAAATACTGTGTTCCTGTGTTCACCCTCTTGTTAAATTAAGTGCTGAACGTATGACGAACATCTAAGGAAACATTGGCACAGAAGAGAAGATAACAGACCACGTTCCCAGACCGCTTTCCTCTGGTCTACAATCACACCGCTGTACAAAAGCTCAAGGCAGCAGTGATTTATCATTGATTTGACATCATTTTTTTCATATAACAATCTAAAATGCACAATTAAGAGTCCAAACTCAGTGACAAAATATGTAATTACTGCTTCTTGCTTTTGCATAATGCATGAATCATTAGTTGCATAAACATCAAGAAGTGCTTTATATAATAGAGTTAAAGAAATAGTTCACCCAAAAATGAGCATTATGGCTCCTCTGCAGTGAATGGGTGCCATCAGCCATTAAAGTGACTGTTTAAAGTTAAAATGTCTTGGTGGATTTGTTTCAGCTTTTGTCTTCTCCAGATGTTAACTGATGGACTGGAGTGCTGTGGATTATTGTGATGTTTTTATCAGCTGTTTGGACTCTCATTCCACGCACACACACACACACGCACACACACACACACTCTGTCTGGGTTCCTAACGTGACCTCTGGTTCCGGGGCAAAGAAACCCTCTGAGACCCAAATAACACAACCCACGGGACAATAAAACCAGACACACACACACATCTTCGAACGTCTCGTTTCATGAGCGTCACATGATCAAAACTACAAACATCAACTTATTACCTTTCATTTTAACCAAAAACTACATTTCTGTCATCACTTACTCACCCTCTAGCTGTTCCAAACATTTAAAACATTTGAAATATTGTAGAAATAGCGAACAAACGCCTGTATTCACTTTTCACAGTGAAAAGCAGTTTCACGAGACATTAAATCTCTGCTTTGACGTGATAAATTAATCCAATAATAACTATGACTGCTGTTTAATCTGTCGCTCACGACTGTCTGATTTGGACTGATGGAAACAAACAAACACCAGCAGAAACATGATTTTTTTGGGGGGGGAACATCAGTCCTACCTCTGGTTTTTATGATCTTGTTGACTTTGAGTGTAGAAAACTAAACCACTGCGGATATTTGCTGTTGTAGCCATCTAGAGGACTTTATGACTGAAACACACTTCCCTCACATCACACTTCCCTCACATCAGCAAGCAAATATGAATAATGACGGAAAAAGCTCGATTATAATGTCATTAGTTTAATATACATTCATTTGGCACAAATCTTTTCAATTTATAAACAACAGTCAGGTGCTTCCAAACGAGTCATTTCAAACGAGTCATTCCAAACGAGTCATTTCAGTCAGAGATTTGTTCGATTCTGTTGGAACAGCAACTATGAATCACTGGAACACGAATCACTGTGTAACGAACTCCACAATGAATCATATTAGCGATTCTGCTCCGAAACATCAAAATACACAGGAATTCTGCACTGAAACACAGAGAGATTCTAGAACTGAAACTGCACTGAACAAGCAGATCGCCTGTGACGCGAGACATCGAATCTTCGAGTCGATTCAAATGAATCGCAGTCTTTTATTGACGCGAGACATCGAATCTTCGAGTCGATTCAAATGAATCGCAGTCTTTTATTAGGCCTCTGGGATGTTGGGTAACATTTAAAATGCTTTTAATGCCATTTATAACATTTTAAAAGACATCCGGATAATACTCATTGTGCTCTGTGTGATTATCAGGTCAGTAGGGATCTGAGTTTGTTCAGAAAAGACTGAGATGATGTTTATGAGTACATTCAAAATGTTTGAATGCCACTAAACGAGATGAGAAAATATCAAAATAGGTGTAATTTGCTGTAAAGAACGATGTGCAAACCAGTTTGTTCAGTTTAAAACTGACTGAAAAACAGGTCAGTTTCAGACACATCTGAAGTGAACGAACACTTGCTCAGAAATGAAGGTCCAAAAGAGCAGATGAACAGT